GGATGTGCAATTAGGCTGGAAATGCATGTTAAGTGCATGCAGCGCATGGACCTTTGCAGGATGCAGAATTTAAATTCCTGCCTTTAAAGAATTTTGCAACAAGTGCTGATAAGACAAGCTGTCGTTGTTAATTAACCTCTCACCTGCACTCCCAGACAAGTGCGCAGGAGGAAACGCGTGCGTCAAAGCAAAAAAAAAAAAAAAAAAAAAAACAACACTAATGAAACCTGGAAGGTAATAAAAAAGTGTAAAGTTAATCCATTAAGATGTGTGTCTCCAAATCTGATTTGGATTGACATGCGGTTTTACGCCTTCCGCTCTCATGGGAGCGCTCAGCTGCAGGCCCACTCCAAACTTCATCCATCCCCCCACTTATAAATTCTTCAACTCCGACTTATCAAATTAATAGAATAAATAATAGCCTCTGAGAGCAGCTGATTCCCCCCCCCACCCCCCAACCAGCAGCATGGCATGCATGACACATATCACTGGCAGCAACCAGCCTGTTTGGATAAAGTAATCCCCAAGTTAAACCAAAACAAATTTTAAATGCTGTATTGGCCATGATCTAAATATCGAAAATAAGGATGGAAGCTCAGAGCAGTGCCGCCAAACGCTTTTAATAAAATGAGCGAAACGCTTACCTCCTGGAGATCTGAAGCGCGAACTCCATTCTGCCATCAAAAAGAGAGGGGACATTGCGCCCTTCGTGTGAGAATGCGTAAAAATAAACTGCGTGCATTTAAAAAAAAAATTAGATCAAATCGCGCCTTTGGGTGACAGTCTGAGGCAAGAGGCTGCACGGCACATGATTGACGGCGGGGTTTTTGGTGTTTCTCTCTGCGGTCGTGCTTCTCATTGGCTGACAACGAACCCCCGACCAAGAATGCGGCCACGAGATTGGCTGCGCGTCCTCTCCAGCTGTACTTCAAAGAACACGCTCGCTACAACTAGGTAGTGTCGGGGTAGCTGCGAGCCAAGAGAGAGAAACAAACCCGTGTGACCCGAGTCACAACGCGGTGAAATCTCAATCACATTGGAGTCATACAGCCTCGATACCGCGGACACTCTCGGCGCTGCACAGAGCCCGGATATGGCTACGTCTATACTCGGAGTGAGTCTGACTTCAGTCGCCTAAAAAAAAAAAAGTTGTTTTCTTTCGCAAAAACTGAAAAACTTTGTTGTTGATGTTTTTTGTTTGTTTTTTTTCCATGTTTGCGTTTGTTGTCACTTGTAAATATATATTTTTGCTTGCAAAAAAATATATATTTTTGCTTCAGTTTTTTTTTGTAGAGAATCACAAATTAAAAGTTTTATAAAAGAGGAAAAGTGTCCACAATGTAGCACTTTTAACTTTAAAGCAAACTTGGACAGATTGCAGATATATCAGCCTTTTATTTGACCACTTTCTGCAGATTCTTATAATTAAAGTTTTGCAACCATCAGTATGAAAACTATGTGGCGGTTTTGATATTTTACTTGTGTTTAGAAAACGTATTAAAACTGCTCTGTGTTGCTCACATGACTGGAACATATATGTCTGTGCCAATAAATGATCTGTGCCATGTCTTAGAAATATAATTACTTCATAAATACTCCATATTTAGCTCCTCACGGTATTTGCTGGTGCTTGTTTTTAAAGAGAAACTTTGTTCTGTGTGCCCTCAGGAAGAGCCACGGTTTGGAACTACACCCCTCGCAATGCTGGCTGCAACCTGCAACAAAATCGGCAACACCAGTCCTCTGACAACTTTGCCAGACTCCAGTGCTTTTTCCAAAGGCGGATTTCACCCGTGGAAAAGGTCCTCCTCCAGCTGCAACCTGGGCTCCAGCCTCCCCGGTTTCACGGTGGCGACGAGCCGAGCCTCAACTGGACTGACGCCGACCAGCGGCGCGGGCAACAGCGCCTTCTGCTTAGCCTCCACCTCGCCGACTTCCTCCGCGTTTTCCACCGAATACAGCGGTCTGTTCTCCAACTCTGCCGGCGTCACGACGCAGGACTCCGGCCAGTCCGCCTTCATCTCCAAAGTGCACACGTCGGCGGAGACGCTGTACCCGCGGGTGGGGATGGCGCACCCATACGAGTCGTGGTACAAGTCCGGCTTCCACTCCACCATCTCCGGCGACGTCGCCAACGGCGCATCCTCGTGGTGGGACGTCCACAGCAACCCCGGGTCGTGGCTGGACGTGCAGAACCCCGCCGGCACACTCCAGACCTCGCTGCACTCTGGGACGCCCCAGGCCATCCACTCACAGCTCAGCGGCTACAACCCGGACTTCTCTTCGCTGACGCACTCGGCGTTCAGCTCCACCGGGATCAGCCCGTCCGCATCTCACCTGCTGTCCACCAGTCAGCACCTGTTAACGCAGGACGGCTTCAAGACAGTCATTCCCACTTACACGGACGCTTCCGCCGCCAACGCCATGATTTCAGGCGGCACGTCAGGAATAAGTAGCTCATCCCGGTCCTCCAGGCGGTACTCCGGCAGAGCGACGTGTGACTGTCCGAACTGCCAGGAGGCCGAGCGGCTGGGGCCCGCCGGGGCCAGCCTGCGGAGGAAGGGACTGCACAGCTGCCACATCCCGGGCTGCGGTAAAGTCTATGGGAAAACATCCCACCTGAAGGCGCACTTGCGGTGGCACACCGGCGAGCGGCCTTTTGTGTGCAACTGGCTTTTCTGCGGCAAAAGGTTCACTCGGTCCGACGAACTTCAGAGACACCTACGCACCCACACCGGCGAAAAAAGGTTCGCCTGTCCGGTGTGCAACAAGCGCTTCATGCGCAGTGACCATTTGAGCAAGCACATCAAAACGCACACGGCGGGCGGAGGGGGCAAAAAGGGCAGCGACAGTGACACCGACACCAGTAACCTGGAGACCCCGAGGTCCGAATCCCCAGAACTTATTTTAGAGGGGGTGAACCCCAGAATTACAGTTAAGGATCCGTCTCCTCACGACGAACCGTGAGGTTTAATTCTCCAAAACAAACAACAGACAGCAGCTTATTAAATAAACTGCACAATGAAAACGGGTCCAATTTCACAGACTTTTGAAAAAAAAAAGAAAAAAAAAGAGGGGGGTGGGGGAAATATTTCCAAAATCAACTGCAAAATTTAAAAAATATATATATTCTTCTCTGGCGTGATGAGTATGTCATTCGTAAATTCATCCTAAAGAAAACTTTAATTTACTGTAGGAATATTTGGGAGGGGGAAAAAAATGAAAAGGATGTTGATGAGAAAATGCTGCGCCAAACCCTGTTGAACTTTGCTTGGACAGTGTTGTATATTGACGACTTCAAAAAATAACAAAAAAAAAAAAATCAAGTGTGTTATTTTTCATGTAAATGTTATAGGCTCTGATTGTTTTCTTCGTGTTGGTATCCTGGAAATCAGGGAGTTTTGCTTTTCGACGCACTTTTGTGGATATGTATGTAACACAGCTTTTCAAAACTTCTGTTTATCATTTTTTTTATTTCTTTGCTAAAAAAATAATTATCTATATATAAATGTTTACCTGTATAAAGTCACACGTATAAAACCTTCATTTATCGTAATTAAAACATGTTTAAAACATGCCGTGTGATGTAGAGTTTATATTTATTTGTCAGGATTTAATGTAGAAAAAAATGTTATATATATATATATATATATATATATATATATATATATATATATATACATAATTTAACCCCTAAAACACCTTTTGCTTCCATGGTTTCCCCTATGGAATAAATTAATGTTTAATGCCCCGGAAAAGACATTTCATGCCCAAATGAAAATCTTGTTAAATGGTATTAATTATGACTTGGAGCACGTCGCAGCCCCATGTGTCTTGTATTTGCGGTTAGGGGATTCGTGTCTTATCAAATATCTAATTAATCTCCGAGACATCTATTGTTCACTTTCACTTTATCGGGGGGCTCCGCTGACAAAAGTCCCCGGATTTTTATTCTAATTGTCCAAATTAACTGCTTTAATTTGCATAGCAAATATTACTAAAAAAAAATAAAAAATGGACTTTTTTTTCGCAGGAAAACACGGATATAACGGGAAGAGCGTTATTTCTTTTTCTGGCGAGGGAAAGAAGGGGGCAAAAAGTCAAATGCAAATGTTGAATTTTAAATGCTTTCTGCGCGCCGCAGTCAAATGGTCCCTGTGTGTTATTTGAATATCAGTGGCCCCGCACTGAAAAGGTTCAAGGATGCTCTCTGACTTCTTTGTGCTTACCCAGTGCAGCGTCCGACTCCCAAAGAAAAAGAGAGAGAGGGAGAGAGACGGGGAATAATTACAGCATGAATCCGGGACTGGGAATACATCATGGAAGAGCATCTCACCCAGACAAGCCTCCATTTTTACCCCCCATAAGTAGGATGTTAAATTGAGCAGAAGGCAATAGGGAGGGAAATTATTTTCATTTCCTTTTGTGCAACTGCGTTTTTTAAAAGGAAGCTGCCAGATTGTAAAACTATGACATTAGCCATTCAATTTGTTCTTAGCAAAAATACATAAAAAAAACAAAAGAAAAAACTCAAAAGAAAAAATGTATGATTTTGTTGATTCAATTGGCCGACTTAGCAAAATATCAAAATTATTTTACAATTGACAATGTTTTTTGCTAATAGCTCGATTATTTAACATATTTAAAAATGCAGCGAAAAATTGCACAAAGTGTATTTATAAAATTACTTTGTGACCTGCAGAAAATATTTAAAACCAGCGATTTTCTTAATGTATTTTTTAATGCTAAAAAAATACATTAAACATTTGGTTTGAGAGGGAAAATAATTGGACCAGTTAAATTTTAAACACACACAGCGTCACATTTCACCTGTATTCAGTAGCTAAGGAAATACTTTTCAATATATAAAAAATAATTTTGTTTTACATTAAATAATATTACATTGTTTAGTTTTATCAATTTGTTTTATTAATCTTTCATATTTTTTCTGTTATTTATATATATTCCTTTGAACGCAAATAAGAGAAAAATCAGAATCATTCCACGTTAAATGTATCATTTATTTGAAAGGAATTAACAGGCTTCTATGCTGCATTGATGCGTAAAAGAAAAAAAAAAAAAACGACCACAGATGGAGAATAAATCACAGAAAGTTGTTTTTCATGAAGACTGTTGATAAATATTAAATTCAATTCCACGAACAAAATTGTTTCCAATGATAAACAGTTTATACATCTCTAATAAAATCACGGCTGAGAGCGCACCGAGGCGCTTGTTGACATTTTCTGTTCACTGCTTCCCCCTAGTGGAGATAAACTAGACTAACGCGCAGTTTGTGCACAAAAAAGATTCCAAGATCCTACAGGATTTCCAACTCTTATCGATCATGTAAAACAACACAAAAACGAAAACATGCTTGCATTTTCTTGCATTAAAATTATAAAGAGAACATTTTAGATTAAAAAAAATTAATATTTTCTTTTTATCCTCTCCCTGCTTCTCTCTCTCCTATCCCTACTCCTGCTCCTAGTTCTTCCCCGAACTTCTCTTTCTTCTCTCCTCTCTCTGCTTCTGCTCCTCCTATCAGCTGTTCTGCCTTTGTTTCCGTCTGTGCTTCTTCTGCTCCTCTCACCATCTCCACTGTGACGTCTGTCTTTATCCCGGTCCTCCCTGCCTCTCTCGCGGCTTCTACTTCTGTCCAATCCAGCCGTAGAGCTGCTGACTTCCTGCCTGCCTCTGCTGTTGTTCCTCCTTCTCTCTTGACCTCCCTCCAGCTTGATCTTGTTCTCGGGGCTGCGATTGCGACTCCTGCTCCTTCCCCTTTCTGTCCTTCTTTGTCTATAATCTCCAGAGTCCTCTTTAGCCCTCCTCTGTCCAGCGTGGGGGCTCTGTGACCTGCTTCTGTGAGAGGAGGGCTTTCTCTGACTCTTGACTCTTCGCTCGCTCTCTGAGCTGTTATCCCGACGGGAATCTTCTTTCTTGTTCTTCTTCTTCTTTTGGCCCTTGGACTTGCTGTGGCCGTCTGAATCGGAGTCGCTGTCACTGCTGCTGCTGCTGTTGGAGGAGTCGCTCGAGCTGTCGCTGCTATCCTGCTTTTTCTTGTGCTTCCTTTTGCTTTTCTTCTTTTGTTTTTTGCCCTTCTTCTTCTTGGCCTTCTTTTTGTCCAACCGGTCAAGTTTTCTGTAAAATGCGGTGGGGAAAAAACCCCCAAAAAACAATTATTTAAAATTTTCTACTTTAAATGAATGACCACAAAGTTTACTAAATGTTTACAGCAGATGGAAAAACATAATAAAGTCAGAATCTCTTTACAAAAAAGCCCCCAATAAGATTTAATACGTCTTTATTACACAAACTTATTAATGATTGGATTTTTTTTTTGTGATCCAAAAACGTGATTGTGTATTTTATCAATATGAGGGTTTCTGATATACTTTCTCAGATAAATTTAAAACAAAGAGGTTAGCAAAAAAAATAAAAAATAAGAAAATGTTGAATTTGTTGTTACCTGAGCAGTTTCTGTTTCTGCTTGGTGGTTAATGATTTCAGAAACTCCACCTCTGGATCATCTTCTTCATCGCTGGCAACATATTCCTTATAAAGCATAAACATTTAAATTATTGCCACAGGGAGAATATTAGTTTGCACATTCAGATGCATATAACATCTTCCGTAGGGACCAAATAAATTTTTTTAAAACAGATATTTCATCAGTTTTATCTGAGACTAATAACAACCAACATGTGAAGGCATCATCAGATCTTGCAGTTTATAAAAAAAACCCCACAAACTTTTATGCATTTGTAGGTATTTTAGATGTTGGAGCAACACACGCCAAGTGAACAATTGTTCAGCAGAGGAAAAAATGTCCACTAAGCTTTAGGGATATCTTCCTACTAGGTGTACAAACATAGAGACTGCTCTCCACATGGCTTGTGGCAATGCAGAGATGGTTTTATTTTAATAATGAATGTTTGGTCACTAAGAGGCACCCAGTTCCCCACCTGAGCTGTGGATCCATGCAGCTCCTCCAGTGTTAGCATCAACTTCTAGGCTGCCTCTCTGATTAAAGCTCTTATGGCCCGGCTGGACAGTTCAGATGACAACCAGTCGTTACGGTTTCAGATGACAACTGGGCAGTACTCTGTAATTGTTTTAAACCACAACTACGCTTTGAACTCCTTCACATCTTCCTCCCTGACCCGTCTGCTGTGTACCTTGGTTTTCATGATGCCATCTGTTCACTAATGTTCACTAACAAGCTTCAGGGCTTCATGGAGCAGCTGAGCAGGTCGTCTACGTTTAGGGTGTACGACTATACAACTCTCGAAAACATTAAGAGACTACTACACTGAAAACCATTGAAAATCTCCTGGTTATTCCTCCAAATGTTGATTTCCAAACTCTTCCTGAGTTAAAACATTAGTATTATTTCTAAATGAATGCAAAATTGTTTTCTTTGCATTATTTGTGGTCTGAAAGCACTGCATCTTTTTTGTTATTTTGACCATTTCTCATTTTTTTGCAAAAAGATACAACATTTTTTGCTTGGAATTTCAGAGAGATGTTGTCATTAGTTCATGGAATAAAAGAACAATGTTGATTTTGCTCAAACGTATACCTATAAAACGTAAAATCAGAGAAACTGAATTTTGCAGTGGTCTCTTAATTTTTTATTTTTTTTCCAGAGCTGTATATATGCGTGTTTGTATATCGTCTTGTGCACACCGAGGTGACAGTGAGACAATTACCTGCGCTGGATCACAAACAGTAGAACTCCTATCAAGGACACATTTCTTCAGGGCAAAGCCACTGTTCCGCATCTCAGCCATTAACTCGGAGGGGTGCATCGACGGGCCTGTTGGCACAAATCACAGCCTCAGAGTCCTATTGATGTGGGAAGGCATACAGTCCGCTATCTCCACAGTGGGAATTTCAGAGGCGGCTTTGTTAACAAAATGGGACATCAAATCAACTCACTCCACTTCCGGCTGAGCAAATCATACAATATCATTCTCTGCCAAAGCAGCAGTTAAGGGAATCAGAATACACAATAATTACATTTTTTTCTTCTCCCGGCACAGGAGGGGGACCATTACGGCACTCCACCATCAGCCCCACTGACTGGACTCTCCCAGGGTAAACATTATTACTTTACAACTCAATTCACTGATTGCAGAACTCAGAATCAGCTCAGGGCAGGGAAGCGGGAGCTGAAGCTGAGGAGGAAAGTGCAGCAAGAAGCCAGACAGATAAAAGCTCCTGCAGAATGAAAGAGCTAGGCCATGTGCAGGCTCCTCAACCTCACCGACACAAGGCACGCTGCAGAAACATGTCAGCAGACCTCATGCTTCATCATTCATAACTCACCCGTACGGCAACATAAACTCAAACCTACTTGTTTGAAGCTTGCATTGGGCTGAGTTACGATAAAAATGACAACAATGTTGTAGGAGGATATTTAAACCTGCATTACCTGCTGTTTCGTCTGTGGCCATTGAGCTGGCGTTGATCCCCGACAGTCCGAACAGCGGGCACTCTCTGTCCGTGTTCACATGGCCCCACTTGTGACACTTGATGCACCTCACGTTGCGCACCTTGAGAAACAGAGCAATCCTGTTTAGTTTATTTACAGAGCAACAAACATCATTTCAAGACACTTTACAAGAAAAACATTTGAAATTTACATGAAAAATGTCTAAATTTGAATCAAAATACAGACAAATCTTACAGCCAGAATTATGTACAGACAATTAGTTTCTAATTATAGCACAAAAAGAAATCGCTGAAGTTTAATATAACTATCTGAATACTGAAGATGTAGGTAATATACTCTAAAAACAAGAACGAGCTCAGTAGTTGTTTCAAATCATGCTCTTAAAACCAGAGGGTTTGTCAAAATTACTTAACTCTCTCCAATAATACAAGCAGAGATGCACAACCAGGCTTTCCCACTAAAATACTGGTTCCCAGATTTCAACTTTAACTATTCTACTTTTTCTGTAGGACTATAAAATATTTAACAAGAAAAACATGCTACAGGTTCCCTAATGAAGCGCAGTACCTTTTAACCCAACCCACAATGAAATAATTCATGGACTTATACATTGAAGCATAAGTCCATGATATTTACTGAAGACATTAAACGCATGAAAATATACGTTGGTTTTTTGACTGGGGAGAGTTTGGAAGCATTTAATGTTTTGTTTTTGTGTTTTTGTGTATTAGACATGTTGACCAAGCAATCAATGGAAAACTGGCTAAATCCAATCTCTGCCCAGTTAACTGGTGCATCACCAAAAAACAAACAAAAAAAAAAAATTGCTCTCGGCATTATTTCATCACTCTGTGTCAACATGGTAACTTTATGAAAGGAAATGTTGCATTTAAATGCTCAATCGGTTTCGAATGTAAATGGACAAAGGAAAAGAAAGACCAAACTCAATGTTTGTAGGGGTTTCCTTAGAATACGTTTTAAGGACGTTTCCATGACTTTGAGGCAAACGCTGATCATGTGTATGTGTCGTAACCTGTCCAGTGTTGGTACTAAACTTGATGATTTTATTCCCCTGGAAAAATAAAAGTTAAGCAAACGTGGTAATGAAGCAGAGTGCTGTGTTTGACAAGCTTTTCAAGCTTGTCAAACCAAGCTTGCCAAACCAAGCTCTCCTACTCTTAGATATCTAGCATATCTAGTTATGCTAGATAACTAGATATCTAGCATAACTAGATATCTAGTTATCTAGCATAACTAGATATTAGCAGATATCTAGTTATGCTAAAAGGCTGTAAAAATAAATTGCCGTTCCAGCATTCTTGGAACTCCATTCCTTTTTAGCTTGAATATTTATTCTGCGCTCTGCTCCAATTCTACTGAACTTGTAGACTCAATTACCTTCAGGTCTTTCTTGGCTTTAGTTCTGACAGGGATTTTCTCCTCCTCTATAGATATATTTATATATAGTTTCTCAACTTTAGAACCGTTGCGTCTTTGTGCCGTTACGCTTATTTCAGTGATGATCTAATCAATCTGGCAACATTTTAAAGCTGCAGAGTTCTCCATGGTTGCCTTGGACTACCATTGTAAAAGAAAATACTCAAAAATGAAATATCCAAACAGAAAACTTCTACTTTTTTTGTCTGTAAATGGATCAACAAACCAAATATTCAGCTGAGGTTAGTAGAAATTAGATAAAGGTTTTAGTTGCCTGCTAATGGTGTAATCCTTTCATTTTCTGTTAGTCTGTTTTTACGTGTCTAAACAAAACTATTCTCTCTATCAAGGAAACCGAGGCACATTTTTGTCCTTTTAAAGTCAAGGTTTGTTACATTTAACTGCATGACTAAAGTGGTTTTGCATGCTGTTTGTTCAAGTGGGAATCACGTGTCAGTGTGTCCATGCTCGTTAAAGAAGGAACTTGTTATCTGGCTTTTCATGTGTGATTTTAATGGCATTTCTTATTTAATGGAAATAAAACCGCAATTGCAAAATTGTGTTTTTTCGACATTACCAAAATATCGGAAAAGTTTTGCGCACATTTCTAACAGGGCTGTAGTGATACAATAATCTCATGATACGATATGATACATGATATTCTGCTCATATGATATATATATATATTGCGATATTCAGCAAACGATACAATTCCATACACTTTTGCGATTTTCTGAAAGATTTTAGAGGGACGCAGTGATTTTGGTGACATTTTGTGACTGTTATAGAGTTGAATTGAATTAATTTAACTGAAAACTGATTAAAAGCACCAACTACACAATACCTGCACCAACTACACAATACCTGGCTCTGGTTGGACATGGACACAAACTTATCGACAGCTGGACAAAATGAATCAAAGAAGTGGTGAGAAAACATGTTTCTTTTAATTGAAACAGTACAAACTGTAGCTTACATGCATTTATAAAGTAAATAAAGTGCACCAAGTACACTGCTCTGAATAGTTTGATACCTTTTTAACCTTGACACTTAACATCTGAAGGAATCACTCTAAGCCTGATGACCTAATCACTCTCCTGGTGAAGCAAGCAGTGAGTGAGCAAGGTGACAGTTGGATGTTACGATACTTGCGGATGAATATCGATTTTTTTCTAGGAAAGAAAATATCGATGTATATCGCGATATCGATATTAT